GTTAATATAAAGCCCCTTGGTGGCTCATTGGTAAGCTTGAAGGCTTATAATGCTAAAATTCTTGGTTTGATATCAGAAGTGGGCAAAGCACTGATAGCCCATTGTGTAGCTTTGGACTTAAAAATAACAAGTTTGTATGAAGATATCATTAAAAATAAAAATTGCTGTTTACTAATTATATACAAGATTTTAGAAAATAAATAAATGCTGTTATAAATAAACACTATAAAAAAATAATACTTAGGTCATTTTCGAAAAATATTTTGACTTAAAATATGCTTATATTAAAAGGATAAAAGATGTTTAAATATAATTTTATTTTAGTTCTTGAATATTTCAAGCAGTTACTTTTTGTTAATTTAATTGGTTGCTATAATTAATTCTTTGCAATTTTTAACATAACCATATTTTTTTATACTCATGTATAACTTGCACAAGAGCTCTAAAATAATAGGTTTTATGAAAGGTAACATAAATTAATTTACAATTAATAGAGACTTGTGATAGTGTTTTTAATAAATAATAAAATTAATACTGTTTTTCAGTAATTTTCTCATAGGCAACTATTTATCTTTACCAATTTTATTATGAAAACCCTCCAGGCAAATTCCAGAACCATTGATTCACTCATGGAAGATAAGGTTTCTGAAAGGATTTAGTCTTTCTGAGGAAGTAACCTCTGAAGAATATATATCTCCTGAAAACTCTGAAATTGCTGAGCAGTGTCAAAAGGCCCTTGATGAAATTTCCATAAAAGAGTATTTAGTAAGTTCTTTGTGTGTTAATCTGGTGTGTATGTATACTTCTGTTTAACTAATATATGTATATTGGCAAAACATGGATAAATCAAACTCTTTCGAAAAGAAAGTGGAAAAAAAAAATTCTTGAAATAAAGTAAATGAAATTAAGTTAAACCATTTGAAGAAGTAAATGAACAAAAAGAAAGATGTCTGAACTCAAGCGCTACCAACTGAGAAGTAATGGTTTGGTAGTGGCGCATAGAGAGAGTCACACGCGACACATGATAGTAGTGCTCTCCTATTGGTGGAGAGATGATGCATGATGATTTGCATAAAAGATATGTTGGAATCTTTGATTCCAATAGAGGGTGCGGAAGGCTTGTGGATGCATTATAGAAAATTTCACATATAGAGGGCAACACAAAACAGGTAAAGCTAATCTAGTGAGAAGAAGGAAGTACCGTATCAGAATTAATTTTGGTCAACCATTTTTATTCATTTAGTGTTATGTGATGGTTTGATCCGAAATATTTAAAAATATAACCTTCTACAATAAACTGTCTTTAAATTAAGATCATAAGATGGCATGCTCTTAGCAACTTGCAAAACATCTCTTGCACAAAATTCTGCTTGTTTGTTTGGTATCAAGCATGCATTCCTGAAGTTAATGTTACCACTTCGGTTACATGTCCTTCATCTGATACCATAATTCAGGCCATAGGTGCGGGCAACTCATCAAGGGGACTTATCAGCCTTTATTCGTAGGGATCAGTCTGCCATCACTTATCACAAGATGGTCTGTCCATATCTGAACCAACAAATTCTGGGTTCAGTTTTGCCTGTTCGGAGAGTGGGACCCGAATCCCCTGTTCATCTTACTAATGCCAAGTATTCCCACCTTTGTCTTACCATGATGACTCTTTTGCAGTACCTCTCCTTGATGCATCTCTTGTCTGAGGCGCTTCACAGGAACCCTGAGGGATTTTCTGGGGACATCTTCTTCCTTCTCACTTCCACTTTGGTCTGCCTGACATCTTCGGCCCTGGCTCTGCTAACATGGCTTATTTGTTGTTGAGACCTTTTGGGTCCTTATGCCTCATTGTCACAGACTAATCTCCTGGCTCCTCACCCATTTTTGAGATGTTTTGTGTTTGACACAATCCCAGAGTCTTTGGAGTCTAGAGTACCTTCGTTCCAACAACGGATGTCGGTACCTTGTGGGCTAGATTTGGATATCGAATGAACCAATCAACTTAAGTCCTCACACAAGTTTGGGGTTGTCCATCTTCTTCCCTCCATTCTTCCTTGTGTTTAGTGAGTCACAGAGGGTATACATGGTATGTTTCCATTTCTATCCTGGGGACTCCCTCGTTCTTTCTTGCAAGCAGATGTTATTGACCTTTGGACATTTCGGACCAGTTTCATGGTTGCAGGAGTTGATTGCATGCAATGGACTTCCATAGGATACCGGATGACACATTCCCAGATCCCTGGCCTAATGGTAATCATGTGTCTCCCCTGGATTTGGTGTTTACCTCACATCACAAGATTTTAGGGCTTGAGGTGAAGCTGGTATGATCCTCATCCCACCCTTGCGTGGATGTTGGTATCCAGCAAGGAGGATTTGGATGTAGTTGACTTACCAAGTACGGTCTGCCGCACCCTAGCCATTTTACACCATGGGACACATCCTCCAGTACCCACTTTACTTCTATGGGATTGAGTTTCTATATTTATCTGGTTGGGATCACTTTCCTGACTTATTCTCTCCCACTTGGATGTGCTCCCTTCCTTTTCCTCCATGTCTGTTCTTAGCTGTTCATGGCAAGGAAATATCGGGTTCAGAAGTGGTGCTGTGCCCCTTCTCAGATCATCTGATCTGTTTCTCTCATCTACAGGAATATCCTTCGGATGTTTTCGGGGGATACGTCTGTTCTTCCCTTGCACCAGTCCATCCTCCTTTTCAAGGTGGGATTCTAACTAATCTTGTGAGAGGAGGGAAATACCGTATCGGAAGTTATAATTTTCCTATACTGAAAATGTATTTCCATTAGGTACTTCCCTCTTCTCCCTTCCACCCGACAATCTTCCGGTGCTTATGTCTTCTGACAAACTTTGAAGTTATGGTTTGGTAGTGGCGCATAAAGGGAGTCACATGCGTCATGTGATAGTAATGCTCTCCTATTAGTGGAGAGATGATGCATAATAAATAATTAGAAACACAATACCAAAGACATTACAGTTTCATATGATGACACCTAATCTTTTCTTTCTCAACAGTGACAAATTTTTCACATTTGCATATCAGATACATTCTATTTTAGTTTTTTAACTCCTAGAGCAAAGTCTAATATCCAAGGTTCTAATTTGAGCCCGTCAGAATATTTCTAAGTTATAGAACTATTAAAAAATAGTTATATTTTTATCTACGTTACTGAAAATATTAATTTTCCATAAGTGCAAAGAAGTATATTTTTTATTTCAAAAATATTCACATTAATAATATTTTCATAAAGCTGAAAACATTTGTCTTTTATTTTTACAGTTTTAAGTTAAAAATTACAATTTATAAAGCAAAATATCTGCTTTGATGTGAAATTTTAAAATAAATATGTTAAAGATAAATAACCTCACTTTACTATATCTTTAATAAAAATA